AGACGTGTGCTCTTCCGATCTCCCCAAAACCCCAAAACCCCAAAACCCCGATCTTTGCTAAATTTAAAGAAAATAACTAATTAGCGGTATTCACTTTAATTTTAATTTTATAAAATTCAAAATCTTCTAGAAACATTGGACGCTGTACCGGCTCTACCGCCACCAACTCCCCCAGCTCCAACTGCTGCATTGATATTGAGGAATGCTTGATCCAAAGTTTCTTGCACCTTCTATTAAATAGTATCTCCCAGCCTATCAAAGTCTTATCTGAGCTGTTGGTTTTCTTTTCTGGAGAGCAACAGAGCTTATTCCTGCTCCTAAACTCTTTTTTATAGTGATTAGTTTTGCTATTGCAGAGATTGTATCTCGCCCTATTGCTCTTTCTTGATATTATCTTTCAATGAGACTTCCTTATCTTGAATGAACTTAAGCTGGTTCTGAATTTCCGACTTCTCATGTTTAAGCTTTTCTGCTTCACTTTAAAGATTCTTCATGCTATTCTCTAGTTACTGCTTTGCTTATTAGATCTTGGCAGCTTCTCTAGACTCATTAGCCTTTTCATCTCTCAATCTGTTAAGTTTCACTTCCATCTAGTCCAAATCCTTCAAGTGAGATTAGTTTTGCTTATCTAGATCTTATTTGGCTGACTCCTAGAACTTATTCAATTTATCTTATTGAACTTAGCCCATTCTTAGCTTAGATTCCTATTCTTAAACTACAGCATCATGGAATTATCTTTGTAGCTGATTCAATTCTTTTACTTTTTCATTGAGTCTGATTTCTTCCTCTGCTTTTTTCTCTAGCAATTCACTCTTTAAGATTGTTATCTATTATCTCAATTGATCAACCTCATTCAAAGCAGATCGTAAGCTGTCTGTTTTTTATCTCAAGGAAGCCTCATATTTCCTATGCATTTCTGAAACTGACTCTTAACTATCTTGTCTAAGTTTGGATATCTATGCCTTAGAAGATTCATCTAATTCAAGGTAAAGGCTCTGACTCTTAGAGAGTTAATCTTCAAGTGTAGCTATCTTGTCAGCATAGACTTACTAACCCCTAAGTTAAGCATCTCTTGTTTTATTTAGCTCTAATTCATATTATGCTCTTTCAATCTTAACCTTATCATACTTGATTGAGATATCTGCAAGCAATTTATCTTTATCTAGTTCTTGTCTAGCAAAGTCTTCCTTCAACTTGCTGAGATTGCTTTCAATCAATTTTCTTGCTATTTTTTCTTCTTCAAGCGACCTCACTAATTCAGAATTAGCTGTTTTAAATTTTCTCCTTTCATTTTCCAGTTACCTTTCAACTTCTTTTGTTTTCTTCTCGGTTCTTTTATGAGCTATTACCTATGCTTCATATTTGGCTTTGATATCTTCAGCAAAGTCTTTCTCTTTCTAGAGTATCTCAAAAGGTACTTCATTAGATTCACCTGGAATGCCCTCTTAAAGCAAATTTCTTAAGCCTGCCATTTCACCTCTGTTTCTTTAAAGGAATGAATCCATAATTCTAACTACTTCATCAACATTTTTATTTCCATTAAGTTCTATATACTAGATTGCAGAATTATCCTTCATCGCTTCAAGTAGAATCTAAGCACCTGCCCTCCCTATATCATTCCATTTCAGATCTAGTCGCTTTAACACTCTATTCGATTTGATAAGCTCACCTAAATATTGTGCAGATGATTGCTAAATTCTATTGTTTCTCAAATCTAGCTCTTATAGACTTGTATTATGGATAAGTGATTAACAAATAGCTTGCAATCCACCATCAGTTTGCCCAATATTATTCCATTCTAATGATAATTTTTTGATACTATCATTTTCAGATAGTAACTGAGCTAGGAAAATTGCTCCTCTTTCACCAATGTTATTTCCCTTCAGATCAAGTTTTGAAATATGAGTATGAGGATTTTGCTTGTAATATTCGACTAGCACTCTGCACCCTTCATCACCTAAATAATGATCTTATAGCACGACTACAGGTGAAGTTTTCAAAGATTCAAGCTTAATTAAAAGTCTTTAGTTTAAATCTACTGATTACAATGATTCCTCAAAGTTTATATGTTAGTTTTATGACATTTCAAATAATTTGATTTCAAATTAAGAATTAATTGCAGTTGAAATATAAGGTATATATCTCTATGGGGTTTTGGGGTTTTGGGGTTTTGGGGTTTTGGGG